TGTATTCAAATGTATAAAGTTTATTCAATGCAATTTGTCAGTTAATTTTTGCAGTTTCCTTTTGCATAAGGCTGTATAAAAACAGACAAGCATGCTGAAGGGCTGTGAGAAGGGAAGCGAATTTCTAATAAGCATTTTTATACCAGTATATTCCATTTCTCTGTCTTCCACCTTACAACAAAAAATCTTCATAAAGTTCCTAGAGTGGTAAGAATTGCTGTCCATAGTACCCATTCTTTTGGAAAAAATTCTAATCACACAGTCAGGTACAATAGGATTTATCATTCTGTTCGTCATTCTGATGACCTGTAACCACTTCCTGTACCTATACCTTCCAGGTGTCAAAAGCTATGTATTTTCAATGCAGAATTCTATAGCACAATGAAAATTAAAATATTAGACACATCAGTAGGTAATGACGGTTCAGTGGTTAGGGCACTAGCATGGGTGTCAGGAGACCTGACTTCATTTCCTTGCTCCACCATAGGCTTCCTGTATGACCTTGGGTATTTCAGCTAGTTTCCCTGTGCCTCAGTTTCCCATCCATAAAATGGGGATAATAGCCCTTTCCTACATTGCAGGGCTGTAGTGAGGAAAACTCATGAAAGCTGGTGAGGCGCTCTGGTAAAAGGGATGGAAGGAGGAGCCTACAAGTATGAGAACTAGCTAGCATAAAATAAATTGAGTTCAGTACTAATTTATCACAGGGGTACTGTTCTGATTGTAGTAGTCATTTTTAATGCAATAAAAAAAACCCTCCATTTTCATATTTTTTATGCTTTTGCATGGAGGGTTCTGCAGAATCTGTTTCTTGCTGCAGAATTTAGCCCAAGCTTGCTCTAGGGAACTTGGGCCTTTACAGCACTGAGCAGGTACAATCAACAGGAAGCTTTTCTTGTCAGTGTCCAGCTGTAAACACTCCTCCCGGGGCAGCTGGGCTTTGTCAGCGGCAAGCACCTACCTCACAACTGTGTTTTCTTTGATGCTTTATACAAGTAGCATTACTAGTTAATTCTGACTAATTATTCTGAGTTTTTCCACCAGTGCCAAACTAGTGAATTACAGGCAGTGCTATAAGATGGCTGTATCTGGTTTAGCTCTGCCTATTTGGGGTTGGGGCTTAATTCTTAACAATAGGACAGTTGTTTTGATATGCCGCCAATAGGTGGATTTGTATAACCTAGTAAGTTGTTTAACGTAAAGCTGTAACAAAGCATAAAGGTACTACAGTGACAGGTCCTCCAAAATAGGTAATAATGAATAAAAATAGCATTAAAGGTGCTAAGGCCCAGAACCGCAAAGGCATCTAGGCTGGGTCCATGAAGGGACTTAGGTGCCATGACACTCAGCATTCCCATGCCTAACTTTTAGGTGCGCAGAAAGTCCAGGAACATCACTGAAACCACACAGCCAAGTTAGGCACTTAGGCTCCCTATACAAAGCAATGGGAGAGAGAGGCCTAAAAATGTACTCCTCAAAAGCCAAGCAGAGCGCTGCCTAAACTAGCCAGTGGGGGAAGGGTGTGTGTGCTAAGCCCCGGCTCACGCTCAGAGATTGATTAGGGAGCCACAAACAGGCATCTGTCCGCAGGATTTGGATGGCTTAGGTGCTCACGGTGTTTCTTGTGGGCCTGAGTCAGGCACCTGCCTCACTCCACACAAAACAGCCAGAGGAGGGTGCCCACCTCAAAACATTTACCCTTGTAGTTTGCGCGCTCACCTGGCATGTGGGGTAATTAGATTCAATTCCTGCCACCTCTGCCAGAGGGGGGAAAAGGATTTAAACGGGAGTCTTCCACATCTCGAGTAGTGTGTCACCACTGAGTTTAAGATGTGGGGCTTCCTTAGGCTGGGTCTACACTACCCGCCTGAATCGGCGGGTAGAAATCGACCTCTTGGGGATCGATTTATCGCGTCCCGTCAAGACGCAACAATCGATCCCCGAATCGACGCTCTTACTCCACCAGCGGAGGTGGGAGTAAGCGCCGTCGACGGGAAGCCGGAGAGGTCGATTTTACCGCCGTCCTCACAGCGGGGTAAGTCGGCTGCGATACATCGAATTCAGCTACGCTATTCACGTAGCTGAATTTGCGTATCTTAAATCGACTCCCCCCTGTAGTGTAGATGTAGCCTTAGTCTCTCCTATTGAAGCTGTTCCACTGTGACTAATGAACGAGTGATCAGAACAGGGGTTGTGTACCCAGAGTCTCTCACCTCCCATGTGGATGACCTAACCCCTGGGCTACAAAGTCATTCTCTGGCACTTTCTCTTGCTGGCCCAATGACTTCCACTGAGCATAAATATTTAACTAGTCATTGGGCCAGAGAGAGTGAGAATGTGTCTGTAATCCAGTGGTTAGGGTGCCCACCTGGAGGTGGGCATTCTCCTCCAATTCCTCTTGCATTATTTATCCACAATAGAACAGGTTCATCAGGAGAGACTGAGGGCATCCCACAGCCCAGTGCTTAGAGAGCTCGCCTGAGATGTGGCATACTCCAGTTTAACGAGACGGGGGGTGGGACTTGAATCTAGGTCTCCCTTTCCCAGGTGAGTGCCCTAACTGCTGGGCTAACAGTTATAAGGCACTCAGATGTGTGGGGGCCTGACCTGGTAGGCGTGCACCAAGCGCACTTAACAGGTCCATTCCCATTCAAAATCTATCGTCCACTGTTTCATGAATTGCTCCGGGGTGTAGGCGGGAGATAGGTGTCCGGGTGCTTAGAGGGAGGCGGAAACATAGGCACCTAGGGAATGTTCACTCTGGAAAACTTAAGTGCTGAGGGAGTTTAGATGCCTGCAGTGTTTGGTGGGAGCTGTGTGGCTCCCAGTGGACCCAAAATTTAGGTGCCTAAAACAGGGGCTCAGTGCTTGAGTATTTTCATGAATTCCTCCACTAATTCCTGTTGACATCAATGGGCATTAGGCACCTAAATACCTTTGAGGCTCTGTGCCTAAGACCTTATAAGGCCATTAAGTCCCAAATCTTGCTAATCCAGATGGCTGCAAATGGTTCATTATTGACGACTCTTCACAGAGTAAGGGGTCTGCAATTAGGTGATTCGTGGGCTTCAGGAAGAGGAACTTTTTCTACCTACCAAATAGCATCATGTATTTGAGAAAGCTGGAACCATCTTTAAGATTTTTTTTCTTTTCATAGTCCAGCAGGCATGTAGCCAAGAGCAGCACAAATTTCCCAGTTCCAATTACAATCACACTGTAAAAGCTAAAAAAAAGGCTTTCAAGTGAGTAGCCTGGTCCATGCACTACAAGGAGCTATTGTGGCAGTGGGATATACAAACATATTTCACTTTTGTACAGTTAACAACTCTGATGACAAAGAATGTTATAAATCAGTAATCTTGGAGATTTCGCATTAATTATTGTGATTTCTTTCATGCATCCCAATAATAAGCAAATCTACATACGCTTTGCCAATCTAGAAACAAAGGATTTTATCAGTTTAACACATTTTGCACAGGACTCAGACAAAAAAGCAGAGCCTTTGTGGTTTGTGTTATTGCAAGAACAAAATTGCATAGACTGTTTGCTGGCACTACCTGAATTCACCAAACAATGCTTTTGTCTTATCAAATAGTTCAAGTAATTCCTTAAACTGAATTTTACACACTAATGCAATTTGTACTACTAGCAAATGTTTACATGTAGTAAGTGAAAATCATAGAGCTAGGAAATATTAACTATTACATAATCAACTGACTGACTAACAGTTCAGTGGTGCAAATAAATCCTTTTGATTTTTTTTAACTCACTATATGGCTGACTTCCAAATGTCATTTCCAGAACATTTAGTTTAGCTCAAACACTTCTGTTGAAGGTAAAATTTTAATTGTGCTCTTTTGCTTTTTTTCCCTTACAATCTAGAATTCTGGATGCAAACGTGTTTCCCAGATTACGGCGATTGTTTTTAAAATCTTGGAAACTCTGCTACAAAACAATATAAAATTCAGTGAGAATAGCCAGAGAAAATGTGGCATAGGTAGGTGCTTTATTGACAGACATGACTGTATTCCTGGCAAGTTGAATACCGACCAGCTGCTGACAAGTAAAGCTTTCCATCTGGACAAACACAGATCTCATAGAGTTCCTGAGATCTATCAGATCCACCCCTTGTCCCTTCAGGCAATTTGGGCAGCCGCACAGTTTCAGCATCGAGCAGAAGCTGTATGGGAGAAAGCAGGACAAATGGGTTTGTTAGATGTAGCAATAACGGAGTTTAAGAGGTTAAATTTTCAGAAGCATCTAAATGACTTAGGCACTTTGACCAGATCCTCAAAGATATTTAGGTATCTAAATCCTATTGGCAGTGGGAGTTAGGCACTAAGGCCCAGCTGCACAAAGATACTTAGGCACCTAAATCTGGGGTTAGGGGCCTAAGTCCCAGTTTTAGGCTCCCCTGCAATTCACTGAACCCTGTGTACACCTAACCTCACTCAGTGCCTAAGATCTTGTAATCAGAGTTCCCTCAGCATCTACGTTCCTGTCTCTGGGCATATGTACTGCTGCCTCACTCTGAGCATCCGGGCACCTGTCTGCTGACCAATTCCCAGAGAGCAATTCACAAACCAGGGAAGACAGACATTTGCTCACCTAGCTCACGTGTGTGGCCCAATCTGGTAGGCATGCTCAGAGGCTGTCTACCAGATCAGGTCTCTCAGGTAAAATCACACAAAACAGCTGGCTGGGAGCATGGGGAAAGGAAGAAGGAAAAGGACTCCTAGCAACTTTTAGCCCAGTGGTTAGGTTTCTCACCTGGGATGTGGGAGGGCCTCAATCCAACTCCCCTTTCTACCTGATGAAAAGAAAGGATTTGAACAGGGATCAGCCAATTTTCAGGTTGCTCTCATCACTGGGCTATGGGCTATTCTGATGTGGTGTTTTCTCAAGCTCTCCTGTTTACATTTCACTGTGGATAGGTAGTTAAAGAGTTATTGGGGGAGGGGAACAGAGCGAGAGAGAAAACATAAGTGTGAGAGTGACTCTATTGCCTGGTGGTTAGGGCACTCCCACCCAATGTGGGAGGCCCAGAATCCAGTCCCCCTGCTCCAAAAGAGAAGGTTACTCACCCTGTGCAGGAACTTCAAGATGGTGTCCCTATGGGTGCTCTGCTCTAGGTGTGCTTGTGCTCCATGCAGCTCAGATTGGGAAATTTTAGGTAGCAGCATCTGTCTTGCACTCCCTGCAGTCTTGTGCCCTGCACCAAGGCTATATAGAGCTGTGCGGGCAAACCATCCTCAGTTTCTTTTCTACTGCAGAGCCTGTTGTAAAGAACTCCAAAGTAGAGGCGAGGAGGGCGGGTAGTGCAGCAGTAATAGGGACACATCTCGCAGAACCACAGTTACTGCACAGGGTAAGAAACCTGTTCTTCTTCGAGTAGTGTCCCTGTGGGTGCTCCACACTAGGTGACTTTTGAGCAGTACCCTCTACAAAAGGATGGGGCTTCAGCGTTGAGTCTAAGACCAAAGACATAACAGTAGAGTCAAATATGGCATCAGAAGCTGAGGCATGAGTAACTGCATAGTTCAGCAAATGTATGAATGGAGGTCCAAGTCACGGCTCTACATATTTCCATGGTGGGAACATTCTTAAGAAAGGCTACTGAAGTAGAGGGGGATCTTGTGGAGTGAGTTAATACTCTAGAGGTAGGTTGAAGCTCCTGAGACTCATAGCAGTAGGTAATTCAGCCAGATACCCATCTAGGGAGTCTTTGCTTGGAAATCAGAGATCCCTTAGTTCTGTCCACAATGGAGAGAAATAGTCTGGAAGATTTCCTAAAGGGCTTAGTCCTGTTTAGTTAAAAGGCTAATGCCCTCCCGACATCAATGTAATGTAATGTCACATCTCCTTTATCCAGGGGTGGCTTAGGGTGGAAAATTGGAAGGTGGATAGGTTGATTCATGTGGAAGTCCGAAGATACCTTTGGTAGGAACTTGGGATGCAGTCGCAGTGTGACCTTATTCTTAAAAGATGTATTGGAGCATAAGCTTTCGTGGGTGAATGCCCACTTTGTCAGATGCAACTGATCACTCTCTGGACTGTCTCCCATCTCCTCTCTCATGATGGCGGTCAAATCCATCACCCCAACCCTTGGGGTTCTTTGACTCAAGGCACAATTCATGGGGTTAGAAACAACCTGTTCTGAGGCTGTGAAGAGAGTGCTGTTACATAGCAGGAAAGAATCTACTTGTGACACATATACCTAAAAGTAGATGAAATTCAAACACTGGTGTAACCTAAAATATTTTTCACTTCCATCCTCCCCATTATCCATTGTAAGGGTTCTTCCACCTAGTCTAAGGATATTTTTTACTACCCAAGGCATGGAGAGTAGTGTGTTTAAATTCTGTTTGCTTGGCAAATAAACAGTTCTGTGCCACCCTTGGAGGCAGCGCACGTGAAGTCTCACATGATTTATTACTATGGTGCCAACCTCCATATGTCCCAATAGCTGAAGATAGTTTCTGGCAGATGTTTTAGGGCTGACTTGTACTGTAGTGACTAAATTGATTAGAGTTATGAACCAGTGTGAAGGGAGGAATGCTTTGGCTGTTACTGCATTGAGGTAAACTTCTATGAACTCCAGAATTTGCACCAGGGTTAAGGTGGACTTTCAGGAGTTAATTGTAGTCCCAGCCTGAGAAATAGGTCTACAGTCCTCTGAGTGGCCACTGAAGCTTCACTGAGGGACTGCTTTTGAGCAAGCAATCATCATAGTATGGGAAAATCAGTGATCCTTGTCTGTGAAGTTTAGCCACTACCAGGGAAAGAACTTTTGGGGTCACTCAGGGTGCAGACAAGAGACTGAACTGGAGCACAGTGTATTGAAAGTGCTCTTGACCCACAGTGAATTGTAGGAACCTTCTCTTATATGGAAGTAAGCGTCTTGAAGGTTGAGGGTCAAGAACCAGTCCCCTGGGTCCAATGATGCAATTATTACTGCAAGAGTTATCATATTGAACCTCTGAATCTTTATAAATCTGTTGAATAATCTTAGATCTAGAATAGGTCTCCAACTGCCATTCTTTTTTGTAACAAGGAAGTACCAGGAATAAAATCCCTTCCCTCTGTGTTGCATGGGAACAGGTTATATAGCACCCAGATTCAGAAGAGAGTTGATTTTCTGCCGCAAAATGTGTTCATCAGAGAGGTCCCTGAGGAGGGATGGGGAAGGGTGGTAGGCTCGGGGGAGGGAGGTACAGTGGATGGAATATCCTGTTGAAATGATCTCCAACACCCACTTGTCCATAGTGCTATGTTCCCAATTCTGCCAGAAATGAGAAAGGTGGTCACCAAAGCAAGGAACACATGGAGATTAAGAGTGGGGATGGCAACTCAGCACCTTAACCAGCCCATCAAAATTGGTGTTTTGAAGTTGTGGGTAGTGAGGTTGATGCCTAAGAAGTAGCTGGTCTCTTCTTCTGGGACTGTTGTCTCTTATGTTAAGGTTTGTAATGTCTCTGGGAGGCAGGAAACTGGGTTGGATGAGATCTCTGTGCCATCTGGGCCTTACTGAACTTTCTTTTTTGTGCAGGGGTGTAAATTCCCAGAGAGTGCAAAGTGGCTCTATAGTCTTTTAAGTTATGAAGAGATTCATCGTTTTTTTCCACAAACAACTTCAATCTGTCAAAAGGAAGGTCCTCAACTGTATTTTGGCCTTCCCTCAGAAAACCTAGGAGCTGAAGCCAGGAGGCTCCTTGTGACTACTGCCATGGAGACAGAAAGAACAGCTGTGTCAGTGGCATCCAGCGAGGCCTGCAGAGATGTTCTTGCGAGCAGTTGGCCCTGTGCAATGATCACCTGGAATTGCTCCCTCTGGTCTGTTGAAAGATGCTAATTAAAGGCATTCAGCTTTGAATAGTTAGTTTGGATGTATTTTGCCATGATAACTTGATCATTGGCAATCCTAAATTGTAAGATAGCCAATGAGTATGACTTACGGCCAAATAAATCAAGATACTTTAGGTCTCTATCATATGGAGCTGACTGCCATGTTCATTCATAGCATCAACTACGAGCAAGTTGGGGGATGGATGCAAAATAAAAATGCAGATCCCTTTGAGGGAATGTACTATTTTTTGTCCACCCTCTTACAGGTTGCTGGTGTTGTGACTGTGGTATGCCAAATTATTTTTGCAGGGTTTAACAAGGCCTCATTAACATATAGCGTGATTCAAGCAGATAAAGAAGTGTACAGAATGTTAAGTAATTTATTCTAGGACTCCTAACCTTCCTTCCAGTGGAATTTGCAAGGAGTCACCTATCCTTTTAATGAGGTCTTGGAACTGTTTAAAATCATTGGCCAAGGACAGTGGAGGAGGCAAGAAAATTTTATCTGAGAAGAGGAAGAGATATTACTTGTAGGGGTAGAGAGTTGCAGGTTGTAGAGATTTCTTTGTCCAATCTCACTTCCTGCTCCTCAAAAGGTCTCTTGTGGATCAGGAACCCTACAGAGAAAGGCTGGTGGGGATTGTCTGTTCTTCTCCCGGCAAGAAGCATTAGGGGACCTGGAGAATTGTTGGTGGTAAGTCATCCAAGGGTCCCAGTGTGGCCACTGAGGCTGTACATAAGACATGGGAGGAGGCAACCAAGGGTATCCATACCAGCGGGTGGAGTGTGTCTCTCACAAAGATAGTCTGACTTTTTAGAGGTCTCAGGATAGAAGGTTCCTTGATAATGGAAAGGAAAGCCTTGGACAGTAATGTGGGAGACTGATGAAAAATCCCCATCATCTTCTGCCTCCTTGTCACTTCGTAGAGGTGGAGCACACATAGAGATAAGGCCGAGAGGTTCTCAGTACTGAGAATGGGTCAGTGCCAAACTGGGGACATTCAGGTGTTCCTGTTACTGCCAAGTCTGAGGAAATCAAAACTCTTGCGGTACTGTAACAGTGGATGGTACTGATGAAGTAAGTTGGGCAGAGGTAACTGTGGCAGAAGGCACCGATGGTACTGAAAATCTCATGCGCTCTGATGCATGGCCAGTAGGTGTTGGTCTGGTCCTTTGCGAAGCTGAAGTGCTGGGTACCAACGTCCTAGTAGACTCTGTCAGTACCAATTCAGAAGAGCTGGTCTTCTCTCTGCTGTTCCAATCACCTGATGATACCAATCTTCCAGAGCTGGAACCCTTAGGATTCTTAGGCCTGCTGGTGGTCACAGTACCTAAAGAACCTACAGTCTTGTGGGAAACTGGTAGGTACCAAAGCAGTTGTCTGAATTGGAGACTGTCTCTTTGAGGTAGATTCTCTACCCAGAGGACTTAAAGTCCACTTTCTAGGGTCTTTTTAACAGGAGTCCAGAGATTTCCTCTTCAGTGCTGTAGGGCATTGCTGTGCTGAGGAAGTTGAAGTGGTTGACCTGCCCAGAGACCATTGTATGGGGGAGGAGGTCCCCCTGGCTGGGGTCAGAAGCTGGTCAGAGTGAGCTCTCCATTATGAGGAGACGTAGTTTAAGTTCCTAGTTCTTTCTGGCCCTCAATTTTAATTGCAGATGCAAATTACGCTTTGGGGGAACATGTGACTCCCCAAGGCAGCAGGCACACAAGGAGTGTCTGTCTCTGACCAGGATAGCCTCTCGGCACAAAAAGCAGCATTTACGCCCAGGAGAACCAGGCATACCCTCCCAGGGCTGAGGTTCCCCTGAGAGGAGAAACAAAAAAACAAAAAGCAAAAAATAGGTGAAAGGACAACAGTCCTTATCCTAAAAGTATAAGTAAAATCTTTTAGAAGTTTTTTTAAAAAGCTATACAAATTATTACAGCTAACTAACATGAGGAAATTCTAAGAACTAACACTAACTAACTAGTAAGAATGAGATACAAATACAGTCGACGTATGTTCAACTTGGATGCTGCTGAGGCTGCGTCTCAGGCCAAGGCAGTTGAGAAGGCCTGGTACCAGGCATGAGGCTGTAGTGGGCATATGCGTGGGCTGAACAGACACAGCTACCTAAAATCTCTGATCTGAGGTGCATGGGGTGCAAGCACATCTAGAGTGGAGCACCCATAGAGATGCTACTTGAAGAAGAACTCTTTAGTTCTCCACAGTGCAGCAGCTTCAACAGGACAGATTGAAGGAGGGCCCTGGTCAGGCTATCCCATAGCTCTGTGGTTTGGGTTCTCATGTGGAAGTTGGCAGATTTGCATTGAAATCCCTTCTCCTTCTCATGTGGAGGGGGACTTGAACTGGGAGTCTCCTGCCTCTCATGTGAGTACCCTAACCACTGGGGCTAAAAGTTATGAGGCAGCACCTTCTCTTGGTCAGCACAAAAATGCCTTAGGTGCCTAACTTGAACAGAGGGTTCACAGCTGAGACTCACTATCAGGGCTAGATGTCTAAGTCCAGGCTACAGTGAGGTGTTTATCTCCAGGAGGGACAGGGCTTAGCACACACCCCTCTTGCCAGCATCTCCCATTGGCTAGTTTAGGCAACTCCCCACTTAGGCCATGTATACACTACCATTTATGTTGGTAAATTTTTTGTCACTCGGGTGTGAAAAAAGCACACACACCCCTGAGCGACATAAATTTCACCAGCATAGGTGGTAGTGTGCACAGAGCTGTGTCCATGGGAGAGCTCGTTGGGGGTGGTTTAATTATGTTGATGGGAGAGCTCTCTCCTGTCAGCATAGAGCAGCTACACGAGAGATCTTACAGTGGTGCAACTGCATTGGTACAGCTGTACCGCTGTAAGCTCTCTAGTGGGGGAGGGATAGCTCAGTGGTTTGAGCATTAGCCTGCTAAACCCAGAGTTGTGAATTCAGTCCTTGAGGGGGCCATTTAGGGATCGGGGGCAAAAGGCTGTCTGGGGATTGGTCCTGCTTTGAGCAGGGGTTTGGACTCTAGATGACCTCCTGAGGTCCTTCCAATCCTGATATTCTATGATTCTATGTAGACATAGGATTAGGATACTGGCTTTTGTGAGTTACAGTCTAAGATGCCTGTCTCTCCTCATTCATGATAGATGGAGCCTAGGCACCTAATGCAGACTTTGTGGATCACAGTGCTGTTCCTGTGATTTTCTAAATGCCTAAAAGTTAGGTGGAGTGACACTCAACATCACAACACCTAAATACCTTAGTGAATTCAAGCCTAAGTGCTTTGGGAAAATCTCACAAAGGTGCCTATCTGTAGGCACCTAAATACCTTCAAAAATCTGTCCTTTAGATCTCATTGAAAGTCAGTAGGATTTAGGCTATCCAACGCCCCTGCTATCTGCCCCCTTACCACGCTGCCTGGAGCACCAGTGGCTGGCGGCACTACAGCTGCACCGGTGGGCAAGATCCACAAAGGGACTTAGGAATCTACCTGCCACTTTAGGAACCTAAATCCAATACACCTCTACCCCGATATAACGCTGTCCTCGGGAGCCAAAAAATCTTACAATGTTATAGGTGAAACGGCGTTATATCAAACTTGCTTTGATCTGCCGGAGTTCGCAGCCCCGCCTCCCTGAGCACTGCTTCACCGCGTTATATCAGAATTCGTGTTATATCGGGTCGCGTTATATGGGGGTAGAGGTGTATTTAGGAAACACTGAGATCCTCTAAACACCCACTCAGCTGCCTCTGAAGCCTGTTCCCCAGGTGCCTATGTTTTCGCCAGTGGGCATGCACAAAACCACCTAAGTCCTAACACCACCAAGCTGCTCAGTGCCCTAGCTCTTGCTTAAGTTCCAGCGGGATACTCAAACTAGGCGTTCCGTGGCCTGTCTTGCCTGTGGGGCTCAATCGGGTAGCACACCTACCAGATCAGGCCTGCATAAAATACACTGGGGATACCAAGATCAGGAATTTTTCAGGCTAAGGCATATGTGTGTTCCTGAATACCCAACAGCCAGGTGGTCACCTGAGATATGGAGACTGTTTTCAAATCCTTGCTCTGCCTCATTTGAAGTAGGGACTAGAACAGAGGTGGGCAAACTACGGCCCGCGGGCCACATCCAGCCCATGGGACTGTCCTGCCCGACCCCTTAGCTCCTGGCCCGGGAGGCTACCCCTGGCCTCTCCCCTGCTGTCCCCTCTCCCCCACAGCCTCAGCTTGCTCGCTCCACTGCTGGTGCAATGCTCTGGGCAGCGGGGCTGTGAGCTCCTGGGGCAGCGCAGCTGCAGAGCCTGGCCTGACCCGGTGCTCTGAGCTGTGTGGTGGCGGTGGCGGCGTGGCCTGGTTCCAGCCAGACAGTGCAGCTGTAGTGCCGCCAGCTACCGGAGCTCCAGGCAGCGTGGTAAGGGGGCAGGGAGCAGGGGGGTTGGATAGAGGGCAGGGGAGTTTGGGGTGGTGGTCAAGAATGAGAGGAGAGGTTGGATGGGGCGGCGGAGGTCCGGGGGCGGTCAGGGGCCAGGGAGCGGGGTTGTGTGAATGGGGCAGGGTTCCCAGTGGGGCCATCAGGGAACAGGGGTGGTTGGATGGGGCAGGAGTCCCAGGGAGGGTGGGGTGGAGTAGACATTTAGGAGGTGGGGGCCGGGCCACGACCCCCTCCCCTAACCGGCCCTCCATACAACTTACAAAACCCGATGCAGCCCTCAGGCCAAAAAGTTTGCCTGCCCCTGGACTACACCATAGGTCTCCCATATCATAAATGAGGACCCTAATCACCAGACTGTAGGATATTCTGGGCTGTAGAAATTGTTCCACTATGTACAAATACTTTAATACTCATTGGGGCAGAGAGAGAAAGCGCGAGAATGAATGCTAAGGTCTCTCACCTAGGAGACCAGTGGTCCAGTCCCTGCTCCAATGAATATGTATTTTATCAGTGCTTAATTTGTGGCTGGGGCACCTCTTGGCTTGGCAGTTCATCACCCCGGCACCTCTGGGCTTGCTGCATCAGTTTATTAAAGTAAAAAAATATTGCTTTAGCCCTAGCACCTTATTCCTTGAGCCCGGGCACCTCTTTCATTACAAATTAAGCACTGTCATTTATACATAGAGGATCTGGTTCAACAGGAGAGATTGCAAAAATCCCACCCCTGACAGTCTGGTGGTGAAGGCATTCACCTAAGAGATAGGAGACCTGCATTCAAGCTGGAAAACAGGGAATCACACCTAGGCTTTTCCACTTCCCAGGTGAGTGCCCCTACCAGTGGGCTACTGAGTATAAAGGTGGACACCACCACCCCTTTAGTCTTTCACTAGAAAGGACTGACTTGTCTTAGGCACTTAATTCCTTTAAGATTTTTCTCCTAGAGTCTTTTCTTGCTTCCACTGAAATCAATGGCTAAAGTCAACTGACTTCAATGGGAGCCGGACATCTGTCCTCTTGCATTTCAGTATGTATTAGGTTATCACTCTACCTCTCATGTTCCAGAACTACAGAAACTGAATGGAACAAAGCAGAGCACTCACTTAAAAATAAATAAATAAAATAAATAAAAAAAAATAATCACTGTGCTAGGATAGAAGTGACTTCTTAGCATTTTTTAAACTCTTTCAACACCATCTAATTTTACATTATTATTTAATCCTTGCCCTGTAAACAAATGTATTATTATGGCATCATTATCTGGAACTATCAGTGTATTTGCTAAAACCTGAACAATTATAATACAGTCACTTTAAAATGACTTAATGACATTGATGGCAATATTAAATGGCATCAATATAAACCACAATAATAAAAATATCATTGATCATACTCACCACTCCCTCACTGCTATGCAATTTGATATCCATCTGAGAGAGAGCTTCAATATTGCCAGCTTGTGCTTTAATATTAATCCCTTTTGGTGCATCCATGCTCAAAGACCGAGTTGGTGATTCCAATCTGAAAGCAAGTAGAGGAAATCTGGCTGTAGCATATTCTTAAAAAGTTTCTTTATTTTATTAAAAAAAACCACCTTTGAACTTATAAAACATTCTGAGATAGTGATGTGAGGAATTCTATAAAAGATGATAGGTTCCTATTTCTTTATGCAGACTTGAAACAGTGGGTAGTTGTTTCAAAACCAACAGAGTATCCTCTATGACAGTGCAGAAAGAACTCAAGATCATACTATATGGTGCTTTAGGCACAAACACTGCAATTTACATTTCTAAGGTGTAGTTTTCAGTGAGACCATAATTGTTCTGATACAAATATTCATATTTGAAAATGCATTTTTATAATCTTTATTTTTACTTGATATAAACCAAAACATTCTAAACACAGTTGGTGAAATCCTAACCCATTTAAGTTTTGCCATTGACTTAAATGGGGCTAGGATTTCAGGATTTCACTCAGTACATTTATATGCATGCTGTAAGTAGCCTAACATTTGAGAGCTACGACCACTAACCTTGTCTGGAAAATACTTGAAATTAATCTGCTGAAAATACTCAGAAATAGCTAAAAGTAATAAAGTTAAAGTCTAACATACACTGAGCATATTATATAACAGGTTTCAGAGTAGCAGCAACAGTACCTTTGCAAACACAGTTGTGCCACAAGGTGGCAGAAAGGGACCATGTTAGCTGAATGATTGCTTCCTTGTCTCAGCTACGTGGAATTAATGGGGTTCTGTTTGTAAAAGAGATCAGGATTTTTCCCACTTTTGGATATTTGGCATTATTTACAAAATTAAACAAGAAGATCAGAAACAATAATTAGGTTTGGTTTCAAGCAATGATTTCCATTTACTCATTAAAAATCCAAATCAAAACCCATTGCAATAAGATATGTATGTATTTTGCTTCTTTCTGTGATTACCTAGTTAGGACCAGGTCATGTGAGAGCATCAGTACCTTTCAAGATCATACCCTAGTGCACTGTCTTTTACACCCTTGCATTATTAGCTAGTTCTGCTTGATAACAGACCCAATGTTAGGCCCTCAGCCGTAGTTACACTGGATTATACTGAACACAACTCTTCCTGCCTGTGTCCTTTAAAAAATAGTCTGTTTTAAAGAAAATGAATAATATAATGGCTCTGGTAGTTTCTTAACTAATTTATTCCCTTAGGGTTGTAAACAGGAAAAAGAATTGAAATATTGTTCTTATTTGCACTGTTCTTTTTTTTTCCCCAAACAAATTATTTCAATAATAAAGGCCTCTCACCTTCCTGATGGGGAGCAAAGTGTCTCTCTTATAGTGGAGGGAATAAGGAAAGATCTCTTTTCCCTACCTGATAGGCTAGAGAGCCTGTGGGGGTGAAGAAAAGGAGAAGAGTTTCTCAGAATGACTGGGAGTTGACTTTTGTTGGAGATGAAACAGGCCCCCACTGGCCTTGGCAATTTGTTCAGTACCCTGCTGGATGAGTGGGGTGAACTGGCTGCCATCAACCTCCCCACAAAAATCTCTGTATGACAGAACCTGATAGTCCATATCTACCTCCTGTGTAGCTTATATTAAAGACAGACACTATAAGGTAGAGGAAGTAGGTCAATCAGCAGTCATTACAACTGCATAGCATAGTGACCTTTTCCATTCTGTACACTCCCTGTGTAAACCTGTGGTCTGCAGCTTTAGAGGGAAGAAGCTCTCTGCCACCAATTATTGGTGAGCCAGAGGAAGATACAGAATGAGACAGCCCTTATCTTTATGTTTATTACCCATCATCACAGTGTGAACACTTTGGTTATTTTATTTAAAATTAATTTCAGTTTTGGGTATAGGGGTAATGAAATGTTATTATAAGAACAAAGGAACATAAGAATGGCTATACTGGGCCAGACCAATAGTCCATCTAGCTCAGGATCCTGTCTTCTGACAGTCACCAGGGCCAGATGCTTCAGAGGGAATAAACAGAACAGGGCAAATAACGAGTGATCCATCCTGTCGTCCAGTCCCAGCTGCTGACAGTCAGAGGTTTAGGGAGCATGGGGTTGCTTCCTGTGTGACACAAGGGCAACAGAACTGTATTTAATATGCCCTGAGTGAGTAGCTACCCTAACCAAAATCTCAGTCTTACAATGCTGGGTACTGGTGCTTAGAAAGAAAAGGGTAAGAAAGGTGTTGCATGCATATGTACACCCATACTACCTACCTCTACCACTATGATGTGCATCTCCACAATGCAGTGATAGAGATGAGTGAAACTAGTAAGGACTTGTCCAACCAGGCACCTTTAGAGCTGAAATGTCTATAGCTTGGTTAGGTGGTGGATTCTGAGGAACCAGACTTGGCATTGTGGTGAGAGATGGTGCCAGCAAGGTTCCCCCATCTAGCCCTTCTAGAGTTGTATTAACTGTAGCTTGGTTAGGTGGTGGAGCCTCAAAACTAGACCACAAAAGTGTAGAGATGGCAGTGCACTGAAAGACAGACAGCAGCATAACTAAAGAAAGTGGCGAAATAAGAGGTGATAACACAGAGATTGAGGCAAGGTGTCTCTTCACAGAAGCCAGACAGCAACCTCCTCCCACCTCCCCCAACAGTTTGGATATGGACTTAGGTGTACTCTCAGACTCCACTAACCACTGAAACCAAACTGAGAATGGAGGGAAAATGGTGGGTTGGTTCATTGGATGTTCACATTGGCAGATGGAGAAACTGAAGTGGAGGACTACTGCCAAAGATAACACAGGGATGGGTGTTTTACACAGGGATGCTGCCCACTTCTTGTTTACAATGTCACCTGAAAATGAGAACAGGCATTCGCATGGCACTGTTGTAGCCGGAGTCACAAGATATTTACGTGCCAGATGCGCTAAAGATTCATATGTCCCTTCATGCTTCAACCACCATTCCAGAGGACATGCGTCTATGCTCATGATGGGTTCTGCTCGATAACGATCCAAAGCAGTGCAGACCAACACATGTTCATTTTCACCATCTGAGTCAGATGCCACCGGCAAAAGGTTGATTTTCTTTTTTGGTGGCTTGGGTTCTGTAGTTTCTGAATCAGACTATTGCTCTTTTAAGACTTCTGACAGCATGAGCCACACCTCATCCATCTCAGATTTTGGAAGGCACGTCAGATTCTTTGATGCTGGAGTCTGCCAGATCACATTGGCTGGGCCCAATAAAGCCTCATTGACCAGAAGTGCGATTTTAGCTGATATGGAGGTCTGTTAATATGTCCAGCAGCTTATGTTGTAATTCTCGCACTTCCTCCAGTGGGCTTTGAAGAGTGTATGCTGTTCTATGAAACAGTTCTTGAAAATGTTTAAAATCATCAGCAGATGTTGGAGGTGATGGCATGATTGCTTCATCTGGTGAGGATGAGATGTTGGCAGGTGGTGTAACCTCTTTCTCCAGTTCTTAATTGTGGTCCTCTATAAAGTTTCTACCTCAGGTTTGAGAGGCCTGGATATTGATGAGGATGGAGAGTGCTGTGTTGGTCCCTTTGATTAATGGGTGGTTTAGCAAAGTGTTGCCTGTACACAACCCAAGGGTCCCAGTGTGGAGGGATAGGCATATGGCGTGGCTTCCACAGGTGCCTGTACCAAGATCCTGTGTCAGTTCTGGTCTCCTGATACCGAGGGTATGTGTAAGGTTCACATTGTACAGCCCCCCTGGTATGGGGAGGGTACATGGTGCAATTGAGTAAACCTCTTCATCTTCCTCTTCCTCCTTGCTGGAAAAGGGGGGCTGGTTCTAGATGGTGATGGAAATCAGTGCCGTATCAGTTGCATCTCCAGGAGAGAGATATGTACCACTGGAAGCTCGGTGCGGAGGAGCAGTGAGTCTGGGATTTCCGAGATGGTCAGGTCTCTCGGGAACCTGAATTCTTTTAGTACTGGCATCAACATCATAAATGCCATGGGTTGTGCTTGCATCAGTGCTGTGGAAGGTCTGGGCATCGGTGCAGACGTTGCTTGTGCCGGCAGTGACGAGCTCAGTTTGCATTCTCCCAATTAACCAGTAGGTGGTTCCGAAGGCTTCATTGGTGTTGAAGCACTTGATGCCATAGGTTTAGTTGGAGCAGCCGGTGCCAACTGTGCAGCTTTGGGCCTTTCTTCGCTGGTATCATGTGACGGTACCATCTTGCATGGTCCTGTCCTCTTAGGGTCCTGGGACTTATCAGTAGTGCCAGTACTGGAGGTCTCTGGGTGGTCACTGGAGCTAAGTCTCTCTGTGGAAAATGTTGAGGTTACTGACCTTGTAGGGGACTCTTTTTTGTGATGGCTCCTTGATAGGTGAGCTCAGGGTTCATTTCTTGCCATCTTTGTGAGAGACCGTGGTCTTTCTCTTTACAGCTCGCGGCAAGTGCGGGGCGGCAGTTGACAGTGCCGGTGGCAACTGTTGCACAGGACAGGTATTGGGGCCAGGGTCTGAGTCTGGCCACAATGCACTGTTCATCATTAAAATTTTTAGCTTCAGGTTATGGTTCTTTCAGGTCCATGCCTTTAAGTTGAGGCAATCCGTGTACTTCTGTGGTATTTGCCCCTCTCCTAAGCAACAAATGTACCATGATTGGCTGTTGCTTACAGGGATGGTCTCATAGCAGGTGAGGCACCTATTAAACCTGGGGAATCTTGGCATAGCCCCATGTAAGGGGGAACTTCCCTGTAGGGAAGAACATAGAAAAAAATACTATTCTAACCTAAGGAGTAACAAGGAGGAAAGAATTTTTTTTCAGGAGGGAAAAACTAAGAAATGGAAATGAGTATCAAGTATAAACTTTTAACAAAAACACTAACACTACTAAAGGCAGTAAAGACTTTCCTATGAAGGGCTTTGCTAGAGATTCTGTCCCTTGCAAAGGGTGGTTGAGAAGGAACTGAGGGCGGTTGGACCGAACAGTGTTATATAGTTGCTGGTCACAGCGCGAGATGGGGAGGATTTCCCCATCACCCCAACAGGCACTGCTATCGAAGATCTCTGATCCTACACTCAGGGACACAAGT